TCTAGACTAGTTAGTCTGGATATGGTTGTAAGGATGATTCTATCTGAGCTGATGATGTTCGTCATTCATGCATGTAAGTGTGTATTTCCGTGTGTGTTTCTGTGCTTTTATCTGGTCGTATAATCACGAAATCAGCCGTGATGGATCAATGTGGTTAGAACAGAACAAGTAATGCTTGCTCTCGGCAATCAAGGTTTAATGAAAACCCTTACCCCCTTTGCGCATTTTCAATAATGGTTTATATATATATATATACTAGCATTCCGATTGCGCAAAGTTAGACACACGTCCGATTATGTTGATTAGTCTTTGTCTTCATATGGGAGAGAAATATTAGACAAAAAAGTACAGAAAAGTGACCGTGATTAGAACCAACATGAGAAATATTCGGTTGCTTGACTCATTAACTTTTATATAATTGTAAGGATTATATACTTCTTAGATGATGCCCGCCATACCACGAGATTGCTTCATAAGACAGGCTCAACAACGATATTCCAGTAAAGCCATTTGACAGCTGGTCAAGAGGAATCTGCTGCCCTCTTCTGGTAGGATCAACCTTCGAATATCTTCACCAAACGTTTTCGCTCGAAATGCAAGTTAGTTGAACAAAAAACGCTTAGGCCAAACTCATATTGTAACAGGCGCTTAACAAATATAGAGTTCTGCCAGAATTTGGTATATCTGCGCCTCAAATAAACCGCCTCGAATTATCGCCAACGTCACAGAAACCCAGTCTGTCATCAAGGTTGAGTCTGGTCTCAAACAACTTCAACAAATGGTTTTCGTTAGTGCGTAGGTTTCCGAGGCTATCAGATATATGAGTTGTGTGGGAAAAGTCACCTACCAATCCTTCATCACCTTGAACGAAATAGGACGCATGCAGCTCTTATCCTCAAGGTCTATTGGTAAGCTCGAAAACACACGCATCATGACTGCATTTCTCTTTTCTCTCTTTTTATCCACTACTCATCAGGGCTACTTACAACATTTTGAGAAAAAACTTTATTCCGTCAGCTTGATCACTCCAAGCGAATAAGATTGAATACAGATTTAGGGGAAGAGACAATATTCGGAGACACACCAGGTTTGGATACTGGCTGACGACAGTTGCTGCCATCACGGAAGTGTGTGGCAGGCGTATGTTGTTTGGCATCTCGCCAAGTCCAACCGGCTGCCTGACGTTCGTCTTGCCGTCTCCGGCAAACTCGGCCTCGTCGTCAGGCCCGACCATCGCCGCCTCGACGTAGACGTTTCTGGCGCCAGGGTTGCTGGTGCCATCGTGGCCGGAGTCGTGCGAGAAAACGGTCTGCCGGCCGGTCGAATAGACGGCCGCCTCTTGAGGCTCCCCAGACGCGGAAGAGAGTGCGGAGCAGAGCGAGGGCGAAGAGGAGCAGGAGCAGATGGGCGAGGCCGAGGAAGAGGAGGAGGAGGAAGACGAGAGGGAGGCGGCGGAGGGGGAGGAGAAGGTGGCCAATCTAGCCTTGGCGAAGGCGGCCGTGGCGGTGGTGGGGATGCTGGAGGTACTCGTGGTACTGCTGTTGCTGGGGCCGGCGAGGGGGGTGGGAGTGGGAGTGAGGCTGAGGGTGGCCAGGCCGGAAGCGCTGCTCGCCGTCGCCTGTCCCGCTGGCCGGACGAGAGGTCGAGGCGAGAGTGCCGCCTCGCCTCGATTGGCCAATCGGAGACCGACGCTGCCGCCTGTCGCCTCAGCCTCCTCGGCCAATGCGGAGTATCTGGCCGGGTGGGCGGCGCCAAGACCGGTGGGGGGGGCGAGCCCCTCGGCCTCGGGCAGATGCAGACGCCCCGACTCGTCTGGCCAACCGACGGGCGGCCAGTCCGTGTCGACTCGACGCCTCGGCGCCTCCAGACGGTAGCAGTAGGCGTCGCCGGCGAGACCGGATCGCCCGACGACCGGGTCCAACGGCACGTGGGCCTGTTGTTGTTGTTGCTGTGGGTGGAGGGGATGGTGGTGAGGCGGTTGGTGCAGGTTGAAGGGCAACGGCAGAGCCAGCGGACGCGTGGCGTTGGCCGGCAGCTCGGGGGGACCGGTGTCCGGCCGGCCGGACACGATCGAGTGGTCCGGCTTCAAGACGATCGGGCCGGACGTGAAGACGAGACGGTCAGACGGCCGCTCTGGGCCATCCGAGGCGAGCAAGACGAGGGGACAGGCAGAAGAGGAGGAGGAGGAGGAAGAAGATGAGGAGGAGGAGGAGGAGGAGGAGGAGGGGGAGGGAGAGGAGAGCGAGATGGTTGTCTCGAGTAGAGGCGACTGGTGGGGACTACAGCGATGGCTCTGATTTTGCAGAAAGTGCTGCTGCTGCTGCTGCTGCTGCTGGGGTGGCGGGTGGCAGATTGCGGCGGCGGCGGCGGCGATGGCCG